TGTGAACAAGGTAGATGAAGAGTGTCTAACACCTCCCCTTCGTTTAAAGTGAGTCAAGAGCTTTGAATCTCTGTATCAACAATTAGGGTTATCCCGTTAAATTCCTGTCTTAGGATAAAAATTAATGGTGGCGATTCTTCTCATTTTAAAACCAGTTATTACAGCTGGAGACTTTGCTGGGGACCAACCCTAGGGTTTAGAAGCCTTCCTCTTAGGTTTAGGGTTTTCTTTGGATCTTTAGTATTTCAATTTTTGCTTTTATTTATTTATTTTCTTTCGTTTACTATTTTGATTTATTTATTTTTATCATATTATATTCATTTGATGACGGAATTTTTATTTTTAAAAAAAATATTTTTCAAAAACCCTTAGAAAGAAGGTTCGTCTATTAGCCAAGGGGATACATCATCCCGATGAATTTATGTGACGACTTCGCCTAGAGTCGGTGAAATTCTGAAAAAGGAATACGTCTCAAGATACATCCTCTTGGGGGTAGGGCTTTGGAATGAAACCTATGACTCTTTGTATAACCCTTAAACAAAAATCTCATGGTGAGACCTTTCATGGCCTAGAGACGAAAGTTTCAGTCTATAAAGAGGCTCCACTTAAGGGAGGCCCTTGTGCCTTTCCCTCTAGTGTTATCCATGATACCCTTAAGGAAACCACCTTATAGGGAGGGTAGAATATATGTAGGCCTAAACTAGGAACCCACCAACTAAGGATATCTTTCATAAAATCCCACTAAAATCTCTAAACCCGCAAGGGTTACCTTTTCATCCATTACTATCTTTAGCCTATAAGAGTTTCCCTTTCTATGTCATAACCCATAGCCTGTAGGGATTCCTTTTTATGCGTCATGATCCCTAGCCTGTAGGGATTCCCTTTTTTTGTCTGCCATTATCTTTAGGACGTCTTGGATGATGCACACCATGTGGCCTATATCAGGCCATAGGATTTGGGACTATTGACCGGTCACCATGTGCTATTTTCCATGATATTTCCTCAAGTCAAATCATCATCTCAACTATCTATTGGTTTATCATAATCCTTAGCGTGTAGGGGTTATCTTTTGTAAATCATAATCCCTAGCTTGTAGGGGTTTCACATTGTGTATGTATATCCCTAAAACCCGTGTAGGGTATCCTTAGGCCCATCTTCGTTCAAACCTCGCACTGCATTGCATCTCCATAAAAATATTTTTACATACCCTCAAAAGCCAAAAAATATTTTTTGCATACCCATGCATTTCTGTACATTCATACATTTTCATTTCGTGCATTTCCACCTTCGCCCTTGGTCGCTATCAATCAAGCTAGCAAATTTCTCGATGTTCAAAGAACAAATTCCAAGCATGCTTCAATAAAGCTACGAAGGAATCCTAGATTGGTGAAGGATAAGTCTAACATTAGAGACTCAATTGAGCTTGGTCCTACAAGCCTTACAAAGGAGAGAAGGCGGCCCTACTTCATACATGACAAAGGCCTACACAAGCCTCAAATGCCACAACTATGGGTGGTCCCTCCAAGTCTTATTTCATGGCATTCAGCCATACTTTCTTCTTGAGAGCTTCATCAATACTCACAGATTCAGAATCTACTAAAATGGCACACTGAACAATTTCTCCTTCTGAGTCTACTTCAGTGTCTTGCAACTTGTCAAAATATGCAAACCTCCTTGGTATTTATATGATTCTTTATGGCCTATGAACTCGTTTAGAAACTCTTTCTAATTCTAGAAGAGTATCAGATACTTGACCACCTTCAGAAGTTGGATCGCCTTCAGAACCTCTATCTTCTGAAGTTCCTCCTTCAGAATCACAACCTTCACCAGAAACATGATCATCTTCAGAAGCTTGTCCTCCAGAACTTATATCTTCAGAGTTTTCCCTTCCAAAAGCATTACCACCACCAGATTCTAGATCATCATCAAAGTCTGGATCAGAATCAGATTCACCATCTGACTCATCTTCAAGGTTTCCAAAATCATCACATGACTCTAACTCTTCTTCAGAATTATCAAGTTCTTGCTTATCTTCATAAGTAGATTAAGACTTGCTCCAATCCCATACTTTTGATACTTTTACAATAAGGTCTCTGCTGACTTTAACTTTATTCATTTTTGGATAATAAAGCTTTTAAATTAAGAAATACAAATATTTTAAAATAAACTATTATGTATTTTTAAATAGGAAAATAAATTAAAAATAAATATAAAACCCAAAATATTATTGTAAATAAACCAAAAAAAAAATTATAAAAAAACCAATTTTGAAAATCGTTTGACTGTAAAAAATAAGACGGAAAAATTTGGGGTATGACAGCACGTTCTATTCAAAGTACACAAAATATATCCAATTGAACACTTGGGTGCAATGATCGTCATCCTGTACAAAATTGTTTTCCATCTTTGGTTTGAGGGGAATGTTATGCATTCATTTACTCCTTAGAATTCCATAAAACTAATGCAAATTAACTTCTTTGTTGGTAAAATCACATTCCAAGAATTGTGAGTAGTTCCCAAGAAGGAAAAGGGTGGAGGAAGGTCATTGTCTTGGGTTTAAGAGACAAACTTCTTGTACTTGACATCACTACAATTTAAATGGTAATGTTTGTTTCTAATGATGAGTTTTTAGTAAGGATCTCCCTTGTTCCTTGGCTGCCAATAGGAATGATAATTGCTTAACTCATGCCCATGCAACACATAATGTCTTCTCTTTCACCCTATTTTCTTTGAAAAGTTATATGAGAGACCTATCAATGGACTGAATTACAAAGACACATACTTTTGTAATTTAGGATATATATTACATGCAAGATGTGTGGCTGTAATTCAAACCTTATAACCTAATGTCATAAACAACGAAAGACTCAATACATTTGTAACATGGGCAATAATTGTTTGGACTAAACCACAACCAATTGCACCAAAGTTTTATAAATTGTTTAATGCCACATTTTTTAAATGGGATTCAGATTGTTATTTTATATTCATTATGAATATCCATCTAACATTGAAGTCACTTGAAAGGATGATTTTATCACTTATATGCATTGTTATGATTTCAACCTTGAGGACATGGTTGATTTTTTAATAGGGGTAGTAATGTTATGATCCAAATTGAAATAACCATGCCATCAAAGTGAATCACTAAAATGGATAGAGAAAAGAGACACATGTCACTTGATCCAGCAATTAAGAGAATAAAGTTAACAAGAAATATTCTCTTATCCTTCTATAAAAGGGAGCATTAATTGGCAACAAAGGCATGGAAGAAAATTGATGAATCACTCCTCTCTCCCCTTTGGTACTCTATTGAGAGTGATGATTAAGTTTTATACTTAATATTCTATCTTTCTAATAGTTCCTTACTTTTTTATTTTACATTGTATTCACTTGATTTATGTTTTTTAATAATTGCTATTCAAAGCGATATTTCATCTATTATCTATACTTTTTCTGCATTCAACATTTGTAAAGGGATAAACCTTTACACGTACCTAGCTTTCCAAAATGCAAAGTGGGGGTGCATGAACGCGTCAGCTCAATCTCTCTTCTGAAGGCCGACAATAGTTTGGTTTTAGAGATGTTACTGCCAAAAAACTACGAGGCTGCAGCGAAAATGGATGTTGCTCAATGGAGTAATTTTCTACCTATGATTTTCAATGTAAATGGTTTTCTTTTGTTTTTTTTATCATCTTTACAATTATTCAATGATGATGCGTTACTGTTTAGGTGAAATGATATACTAATATTTCTTTACATACTTTTTGCAAGTATAATATGCCAATTTAATACATATTCAGGTTTCTCCAATGCTCAAAGTTCTTGCTAGGGAACCAAATTTGTGTTCCATTCACTTCATTGCAGGTAGATGATGGTTAATTACTTGAGTTCCATTCACTTCTTGACTCAATTTTTTTTATAAAAGATAGATCAAACTATTTGTGTTTTATTCTTATGATTTCAATTATGTTCATTCATTTAATCAATTACATACATTGCATATAAAAACATATGCTTGAAGGATGTTTATTACTTTTAATCAATGCAAACTCATATGTTACCCACTTTTTCAGCCTTCATTCAGTCAAAATTGTGTAATTCTTAAGAATCTAATATCAACAGAGACAATACTAAACTCATAGTTTTATTATTTGGTACAACCAATACAATTATTATATGTAGGTTTGATTGATTGAGTGAAATTTGCACTAATAATATTGTTAATTTACTATAGGTATACTAATTTGTTTTGGTATACTTTTATTTGTTTCGAGTCAGTATATATTCGTCTTATGCATATGAATGGTAACAAGACTTCACTAGATTAAATAATCAAATAGTATTTGGTGACAAACAAGAGTTTAACAATATATAATTTTTTGTGTTGATGTTATATGAAGTTATAAGTAAATAACAATATGTAAAACACAAAAACAACTAAAGGAAATAGATAATATAGACTTCTGAATTAGCACCGTACATAAACAATTACAATAGAACCAAAATTAGCTCTTAATCCAATGTAGATTGTTTTATTAACAAATAAAAGTTTAAATACAAATTAATAACAACAATGTATAACATAATTTATTAAAAAATTTCACACGACTTTAGCCAGAAGATTAATAGACTGGAGGTGGGGGTGAGTTATAGAGGTAGGGATGATATGGAGGAGGTGATGGAGATAGTGGAGGTGGAGACTTGTAAACATAAGGATATGGTGGTGAAGGTGAAGGAGGTGGCGGTGACTTGTAGACATATGGTGGAGGAGGCGATGGAGAAGGTGGAGGTTGAGATTTGTAGTAGTATGGAGGGGGTGGTGAAGGTGAAGGAGGTGGTCGTGACTTATAGACATAGGGAGGAAGGGGTGAAGGAGATGGCGGAGGTGGAGATTTGTAAACATATGGAGGTGGGGGTGAAGGGGATGGTGGAGGGGTAGATTTGTACATATGGAGGGGGAGGTGAAGGAGAAGGAGGAGGAGGAGACTTATAATAGTATGGTGGAGGAGGAGAAGGGGAAGGTGGTGGTGGAGACTTGTAAACATATGGAGGAGGTGGTGAAGGGGATGGTGGAGGTGGTGACTTGTAGACATATGGAGGAGGAGGTGAAGGTGATGGTGGAGGTGGAGATTAATAGACCTATGGTGGAGGAGGTGAAAGTGGAGGAGGAGGAGGAGACTTATAAGGCTCTCTTCACTATAATTTTTCATTGATAATTATATCAATAATTTTCTATCTCTCTCTCACAAACATTCTTTCTACGCAACTCTCTTTATTAATTTTAGAGTTTTGAACAGAACACCTAAAATTTTTCTATCAACAATCATTTGGAGGATCAACAACCATTTGAAGAATCAATAATAATTTGCAGATAACAACTCATTAGAGTTCTCGTAAAAGTTGTTACTCTTCACATCGAAGAACAACAATAAAAAAACCCTGAAGTATCCCTCAATAATCATTTGGAGATCAACAATCTTATCAATAATTATTTTAGGATTCTGAACAGAACACCTAAAAATTTTCTCACAATTGGAGGATGAGTTTTCTAACACTATCAATCTCTCTCTCCAAATGCTTTCCGTCAGGTGTCACCTCATTTTTTCTTTTTCTTTTTTGCTTTAATGATAGAGCTATTGTATTGGGTTTGATTCAAATTTTGATGGAGAAAGAAGGTAGAATGAGAAATATTGTGAACGTGAGAGAGACAAAGAGAAGCTATGTTTGGTTGTTTTTCTAATATAAGTTGTTTATATTTTTATAATATATGTTGTTATTATAATATGTGTTGGTATTATAATATTGGTTGTTATTATAACTGGTGGCCTTTGTAAATCAAATTGTGTTGCTACTTAGAAGGAGATGGCGGTACGTCTCCCCTATCTTTCTGTTGTTGCTTTTTATTTTTTTATTTATTTTTACCAATTAGTTATTGTTAATAATTTAATTATTTATTAGAATTATGATAAATGATGAGTTTGGACCCTCTTCTTTTAATCCATACCCCCTTCACGCATTTGGGTCAAGTTTAATTTTTGAACTTGGGCCCTTATTAGTTACACCCCTTGGAATTATTGTCTAACACTAAAATGCACCCCCTAGCCTTTTTGGGTTCAAAATTACTTTAGGCCCAAATTTCTTTTTATATACACCACCCAACTCTAATTTGTATACCCCTTAAACTTAATTAATTAATTCTAATTATTTTGTTTTATTTATTTATTTTCTTTATCTATTGAATTCACATAATATCTTTAGAATTTTGCATTAAACATATTTCTTTGCATAATTATTAATAAATAATTATTATATTTTTATTTAAAAAAATTTAATATATTTTTAATAATTAGGAAATAGTTACTTATTAATTAAAATATTTTCTTAAAATCTAACCCTATTTTTCTAATTTTCATTGAATCTTTTTTCTCATTTAAACTTATTTTTGCTTAATTGCATAACACATCAAAGATAACTAACCCATCAAATACTAACCTTTTTTTCTACTAACATAATTAAATTCAAGATATTTTCAAAAAAGGATTGTGGAGATCTTTTTCATTAACTACGAACTACGTCTACGATTTCGCTATTTTAAACCCAGACTTGGTTCAAGGATTAATTTAAAATATTTCCACAATCCATAAAAAAACTAACCAAACACTACAAACTACGAACCGAGACTTTGATTCCTCATAAGAGGATACATAGGCATACACGACTTAAAAATCGCGACGAGTTCTCCTAATTAAAAAATTAGGACCCCATTCCTAAACCTTAAACCTAAACCCAAGTATCCTTGTGAATAAGGTAGATGAAGAGTGTCTAACACCTTCCCTTAGTCTAAAGTGAGTCAAGAACTTTGAATCTCTATATCAATAATTATGGTTATCCCGTTATATTTCCGTCTTAGGATAAAAATTAATGGTGGAGACTCTTCTCATTTTAAAACCGGTTATTAAAGCTGGCGACTCTGCTGGGGACCAACCCTAGGGTTTAAAAGCCTTCCTCTTAGGTTTATGGTTTTTGTTTGGATCTTTAATGTTTCAGTTTTTGCTTTTATTTATTTATTTTCTTTCATTTATTATTTTGATTTATTTATTTTTATCATATTATATTCATTTGATGATGGGATTTTTATTTTAAAAAAAATATTTTTCAAAAACCCTTAGAAAAAAGATTCGTCTATTAGCTAAGGGGATACATCATCCATATGAGTTTATGTGACGACTTCGCCTAGAGTCGGTGGAATTCCGAAAAAGGAACACGTCTCAAGATACATCCTCTTGGGGGGTAGCACTTTGGAATGAAACATATGATTCTTTGTATAGCCCTTAAACCAAAATCTCATGGTGAGACCTTTCATGGTCCACAGACGATATTTTCGGTCTACAAAGAGGCTCCACTTAAGGGAGGCTCTTATGCCTTTCACTCTAGTGTTATCCATTATACCCTTAAGGAAACCACCTTATTAGAGGATAGAATATACGTAAGCTGGAACTAGGAACCTACCAACTAAGGATATCTTTCATAAAATCTCACTACAATCCCTAAACCCCAAGGGTTACCTTTTTGTCCATTACTATCTTTATCCTATAAGAGTTTCCCTTTCTATATCATAACCCCTAGTCTGTAGGGATTCCTTTTTGTGTGTCGCGATCCCTAGCCTGTAGAGATTCCCTTTTTTTGTCTGCTATTATCTTTAGGACGTCTTTGTTGATGCATGCCATGTGGCCTATATCAGGCCATAGGATTTGATGACTATTGATCGGTCACCATGTGCTCTTTTCCATGCTATTCCCTCAAGTCAAATCATTATCTCAATTGTCCATTGGCTTATCATAATCCCTAGCATGTAGGGGTTATCTTTTGTAAATCATAATCCCTAGCTTTTAGGGGTTTCACATTATGTATGTATATCCCTAAAACCGGTGTAGGGTGTCCTTAGGCCCATCTTCATTCTAACCTCGCACTGCATTGCATCTCCATAAAAATATTTTCGCATACCCTCAAAAGCCAAAAAAATATTTTTTGCATACCCATGTATTTCCGTACATTCATACTTTTGTATTTCATGTATTTCCACCTTCGCCTTTGGTCGATATCAATCCAGCTAGCAAATTTCCCGATGTTCAAAGAACAAATTCCAAGCATGCTTCAATAAAGCTGCGAAGGAATCCTAGATTGGTGAAGGATAAGTATAACATTAGAGACTCAATTGAGCTTAATCCTACGAGCCTTACAAAGGATAGAAGGCGGCCCTACTTCATACATGACAAAGGCCTACACAGCGCCTCAAATGCCACCACTATAGTTGATCCCTCCAAGTCTTCTTTCATGACATTCAACCATACTTTCTTCTTAAGAGCTTTATCAATACTTATAGGTTCAGAGTCTACTAACATGGCACAGTAAACAATTTCTCCTTCTGGGTCTACTTTATTATCTTGTAACATGTCAAACTTTGAAAACCTCCTTCGTATTTGTATGATACTTTTTGGCCTCTAAACTCGTTTAGAAACTCTTTCTAATTCTAGAAGAGTATCAGATACTTGACCATCTTCAGAAGTTGGATCCGTTTCAGAACCTCTATCTTCTGAAGTTCCTCCTTCAGAATCATAACCTTCACCAGAAACATGATAATCTTCAGAAGCTTGTCCTCCAGAACCTACGTCTTTAGAGTTTTCCCTTCCAAAAGCATGACCACCAGATTCTTGATCATCATCAAAATCTGGATCAGAATCAGATTCACCATCTGACTCATCTTCAGAGTTTCCAAAATTATCATTTGACACTGACTCTTCTTCAGAACTGTCAAGTTCTGGCAAGAAATAGATTCAGACTTGCTCCAGTCCCATACTTCTGATTCTTTTACAGTGACGTCTCTGCTGACTTCAACTTTATTCGTTTATGGACAATAAGGCTTTTAAATTAAGAAATACAAATAATTTAAAATAAACTATGATATATTTTTAAATAAGCAAAATAAATTAAAAATAAATATAAAACCCAAAATATTATTGTAAATAAACCAAAAAAATTATAAAAAACCAATTTTGAAAATCATTTGATTGTAAAAAATAAGACGAACAAATTTGAGGTATGACAGCGGGTTTAGTTCAAAATACACAAAATCTATCCAATTGAACACTTGGGTGCAATGACCCTTATCCTATACAAAATTATTTGCCATCTTTGGTTTGAGGGAATTGTTATGCATTCAGTTACTCCTAAGAATTCCATAAAATTAATGCATATTAACTTCTTTGTTGGTAAAATCACATTCCAAGAATTGTGTGTAGTTCCCAAGAAGGAAAAGGGTGGGGGAAGGTCACTGTCTTGGGTTTAAGAGCCAAACTTCTTGTACTTGACATCACTTCAATTAAAATGATAATGTTTGTTTCTAATGATAAGTTATTTAGTAAGGATCTCCCTTGTTCCTTGGCTGCCAATAGGAATGATAATTGCTTAGCTCATGTCCATGCAACACATGATGTCTTCTCTTTCACCCTATTTTCTTTGAAAAGTTATATGAGAGACCTATCAATGGACTGAATTACAAAGACACGTGTTTTTTTTAATTTAGGATATATATTAGATGCAATATGTGTGGTTGTAATTCAAACCTTATAACCCAATGTCATAAACAACGAAAGACTCAATACATTTGTAACATGTGAAATAATTGTTTGGACTAAAGCACAACCAATTGCACCAAAGTTTTATAAATTGTTTAATGCCACATTTGTTAAATTGGATTCAAATTGTTATTTTATTTTCATTATGAAGATCCACCTAACATGGAAGTCACTTGAAAGGATGCTTTTATCACTTATATGCATTGTTATAATTTCAACCTTGAGGACAAGGTTGAGTTTTTAATAGGGGTAGTAATGTTATGATCCAAATTGAAATAACCATGCCATCAAAGTGAATCACTAAAATGGATAGAGAAAAGAGACACATGTCACTTGATCCAGCAATTAAGAGAATAAAGTTAACAAGAAATATTCTCTTATCCTTCTATAAAAGGGAGCATTAATTGGCAACAAAGACATGGAAGAAAATTGATGAATCATTCCTCTCTCCCCTTTGTTACTCTCTTGAGAGTGATGATTAAGTTTTATACTTAATCTTCTTCTATCTTTCTAATAGTTCCTGACTTTTTATTTTACATTGTATTCACTTGATTTATGTTTTTTAATAATTGCTATTC